ACCACTCGAGCTGCTATTTTTAAGCGCTTCCGTATCTCGTAAGGAGTGCATATAGAGGAGACCATGGATTTTGACAAAAAAACTGGTGTAGCATTCACGTACAATTGCAATTGAAGAGTTTTGAAAGGAAAAGGTCCAAAATAAGGCAGGTCCATAAAATCTGAAAAAAGATAACATACCTTTACGCTGACCATTTTTTGTGTTAATATCTCCTTTCGTGTTGTCACTACCAATGCTCTTTCGACCATTTTAAACGATAATATCCGTGCTTGATGCACTGTTCCCGGCTTGTAATTGATACCTTCTAAAAATTAGGAGGAAAAAACCATGATAACTCACTGGAGTAATATTAAAAAAAATAAAGTATTTCTTTACTTCTCCCTAAATTCATTGTGATTTCTCTGTTGTGAAGATTTGATGTTAAACTGCTGACAGTGGCAAGGAAATGAATTCTTTTACTAATACTACTTGCAACGTTTGGGACGTCAAGATGCAAGTAAAAGAAAAAACCTCAACTTACATATATAATTCAGGCACAAACTAGAGACATGCAGCATAGGGTTGAAAGCCTGGCTGCACTCGGTATGTGCGAGCATCTCAGTATCATCACTAAATACTGTGAACGGAGGAAAATGGTCTCGCACCGGGGAGGGAATCGAATCATTCCTCTTCACATCTTGACCCGAAATGCTGACCAGTAATGGCCCTTGTGCTTCAGGATCAACTTGACAGTAAATACATTGCTATATGTCTGCCTTTCAATGCAGAATACAGTTATTCTTAAATGTCCCTCATAGGCAGTACACACCTCTTTCTCTGTGGCGGCTTCTTATTCGGCTTTTCGCGGGTTTTTTGCAACACCATTATGGGACACCCAGTAAGACATGAAGAAAAATTACCAACGAAGAAAATCATTACACAGGACTAACAACTTCTTATGTTCATCAATTCTGGTTATATTTGGTGCTTTTCTTGAACAAAGCTTAGCAATCCTTGGGTCAACTTTTGCAATTTCTGATTCTGCTCACAGCGTTTTTATTGCCTTTGCTTCGCTTTTTCATTTTATCAAAAAAATGAGTTAATGAAGTTTTGAGTCCAAACCTTGCAATTTGTTTTTCTTCGCAAAAGCTGTAACCAAAGCACTTTTGCCGCTTTCACCCACAACTAAATCGAAGCTAACATTTCCAAATCGGTCCATGCTGCTTACTTTACAATCAACCAAATCACCAATTTGAAAACCCTGAAATAATTGACAAAATTTCTTTCGCAAAAAAGCAGAATGCATTTTTAAAAGAATTCTTTGAATGCACACAGGATGTTCCACAAAGCCATAACACTTTTTTCCACTTCAGCCCGTATATTTTTGAGAAAGACGCCAGACAAGGCGATCTCATCTCGCTCAAGCTTATTCTTGGCCCGTTTCAAGATGGTACGCCGACTGTAGTAACCAGGTTGACTCTGGAAGCCAAAATGACAAAAGCGCCATAGAAAAGAGGACGAAAGAACAGTATGAGAAAAGGTGAGAGTGAGATAAGACGTTTCGGTCCATTAAGACATACACGCCTTAACTCAACGCCGCGATAGGACCTCGTCAGTATGAAGATGGAATAAGCATCAAATGCGAGCTGTTAAACCGACGATTTGCAGATGTCATAATTGTCAATGCAAAGGCGCCGACAAAGCCGAATGGGACACTGCAAAATAGCTTGTTTCACAAAGCCTA